ATGGCAGAAAGTGAAGAAGAACTAAAAACCTCTTGATGAAAGTGAAAGAGCAGAGTGAAAAAGTTGGCTTAAAGTTTAACATTCAGAAAACTAAGATCATGGCATCTGGTCCCATCACCTCATGGGAAATAGATGGGGAAACATTGTCAGACTTCATTTTTTTGGGCTCCAAAATCACTGCAGATGGTGACTGCAGCCATGAAATTAAAAGACACTTACTCCTTGGAAGGAAAGTTATGACCAACCTGGATAGCATATTAAAAAGCAGAGACATTACCTTGCCAACAAAGGTTCATCTAGTCAAGGCTATGATTTTTCCAGTGGTCATGTATGGATGCGAGAGTTGCACTGTGAAGAAAGCTGAGCACTGAAAAATTGATGCTTTTGAAGTATGGTGTTGGAGAAGACTCTTGAGAGTCCCTTGGACTGCAAGGAGATCCAACCAGTCCTTCCTAAAGGAGATCAGTCCTGGTTGTTCACTGGACGGACTGATGCTGAAGCTGAAACTCCAATACTTTGGCCACTTCATACCAAGAGTTGATTCATTGGAAAAGACCTTGTTGCTGGGAGGGACTGGGGGTAGGAGGAGAAGGGGACGAAGAGGATGAGATGGCTGGATGGCAACATTGACTCGATGGGCGTGAGTCTGAGTAAACTCCAGGAGGTGGTGATGGACAGGGAGGAGTGCTGCGATTCATGGGGTTGCAAAGAGTTGGTTGGACACAACTGAGCAACTGAACTGAACGCATATATATGGAATCCAAAAAGATTGTACCGAAGAATTTATTTGCAAGGCAGCAATGGAGAAACAGACATAAAGAACAGACTTATGGACACAGAAAAAGGGCAGGAGAGGGTGAGATGGAGAGTAACATGAAAACTTACATTAACATATGTAAAATAGATAGCCAATGGGAATTTGTTGTATGTCACAGGGACCTCAAACAAGAGCTCTGTACCAACCTAGTGGGTGGGGGGAGGAGGGAGATGGGAGAGAGGTTCAAGAGGGAGGGGACATATGTATACCTATGGCCGATTCATGCCGATGTTTGACAGAAAATAAAAAAATTCTGTAAAGCAATTATCCTTCAATTAAAAAATGAAGAATTTAAAATAAGAAAATGATTTTTAAAAAAAGTTCCTGCATTACAGTTTATTCTTCTATTTATACGAAAGACAATCAGGATCTATGTAGTCATTTATATCTAATATGGTAACTTGTAGATAACTGGAAGAAGCACCCTGGGGGATAGGGTGGGGAACAAGAGATGATTAAGTACATCTGATCACTAGAGGCACATATTCACAATATGAATAATGAATAAGAAAGGAGTGACAGAAAAAATATCTGTAAAAATCAGGTAAGTTCTCAAGTATTTAGGCAAACAAGCCTTAACAGCACTGTTATCGCTTCCCTGTGATATACAACCATAATTCTGTAATCATAAAGGTGATTCTGAGTAATCAAGAAAAGATTAAGTTATGCTCAGTTTATACTATTGCAAATCCCACTGTCTTGAATCCTTCTGGGATAAGTGGTTAAGATAAAAAGATTTGGGGCTTAAAGAACAATAAACTTAATCATCTTGAAAAATGGTTTATGCCTTGAGGGCTCCAGATAGCTAGGGCTTTGCATTAATCTACAGTTTGGGTTCAAATTCAGTGTTAAAGTAATGTACAAGTTACCTGCTGGTTTGTTTCTTCACTTTTCTGAATACCACTCTCTTCCAGAGTGTAGTCATAATTAAACAGATAACCAAGCAGATGCCACAAAATTCCAGCTTGCAATAGGTGTGTCTGTAGCCAGAAATCCACAGCAAAAGAGCTGACACATTCTACTCCAAGGGCAGCCACTCTTGGAATACTCTGAGAATAAAAATAATGGAATTAAAAAAAATAATAATGGATTTTAAAAAAAAGCTCCCAAGAGAAACCTGTTTCAGGTATACAACACAGAGATTCAATTTTTTTGGATATTATATTCCATTATAGGTTAATACAAGATATTGGATATAAGTCTTTGTGCTATACAATTGGATAACAAATCCTTCCTATCTATTTTATGAATGAAAGTGAAAGTCACTCAGTCATGTCTGACTCTTTGCGACCCCATGGACCATACAGTTCATGGAATTCTCCAGGCCAGAATACTGGAGTGGGTAGCCTTTCCCTTCTCCAGGGGATCTTCCCAACCCAGGGATAGAACCCAGGTCTCTCACATTGCAGGCGGGTTCTTTACCAGCTGACCCATAAGGGAAGCCCAAGAATACTGGAGTGGGTAGCCTAACCCTTCTCCAGCGGATCTTCCCGACCTAGGAATCAAACCAGGGTCTCCTGCACTGTAGGCAGATTCTTTACTGACTCAGCTATTAGGGAAGCCCACTTTATGTTAGCAGTTTGCATTTGTTAATCCCGTTTTCCTAATTTGTCCCTCCTCGCCTCCCTCTTCCTTTTCTTTTTGGTAACTGTAAGTTTGTTTTTTATGTCTGTGAGACTGTTTCTATTTTGTATATATGTTTATTTGTATTATTCTTTAGATTCCACATATAAGTGTTATCATACAGTGCTTGTCTTTGACTTGTTACACTAAGCATAATATTCTCTAGGTCATTCACACTGCTGCAAATGGCAATATTTCATTCTTTTTTTATGGCTCAATAACATTCCATTGTGTGTCTATTTGTGTGTGTATATACAGTGCATGTGTGTATGTGTGTATAAGGGAAGGGAAGTTGCTCAGTCGTGTCTGACTCTTTGCGACCCCATGGACTGTAGCCCACCAGGCTCCTCCATCCATGGAATTTTCTAGGCAAGAGTACTGGAGTGGGTTGCCATTTCCTTCTCCAGGGGATCTTCCCAACCCAGGGATCGAACCTGGGTCTTCTGCATTTCAGGCAGACGTTTTACCGTCTGAGCCACCACGGAATCCCTGTGTGTGTGTATACACATCAACTTAAGCCAACCGTTTGTTGATGAACACCTGGGTTATTTTCATGCCTTGGCTATTATGAATAGTGCTATGACTGGGTGCACATATCTTTTCAAATTAGTGTGTTCAGTTTTCCAGATAAGTACCTAGGAGTGGAACTGCTGGATCATATGGTAGCTCTGGGGCTTCCCTGGAGGTTCAGGCAGTAAAGAATCTGCCTGCAAGGTAGGAGACCCAGGTGCAATCTCTGGGTCAAGAAGATCCCATGGAGAAGGGAATGGTTACCCACTTCAGTATTCTTGCTCTATTTTCAGTTTTTTTAGGGAAGCTCCATGCTGTTTTCCATAATGGCTGTACTACACCAACTTACATTCCCAACAACAGTATACAAGGGATCTCTTTCTCCATATCCTCTCCAGCATTTATTATTTGTAGACTTTTTGGTGACAGACATTCTGACCAAAGTGAGGTGATACCTCAATGTGGATTCAATTTGTATCAGAATTACTATCTTTAAAGCCATTAGTGTTAAAGACATAAGAATACTGTTTTCTTTGTTTCACTTCTTGTAATTTTAAAAACAGTGATAAGGCTTTAGTAGCAATGCATGTGTCAGTGATCTTAAGTGTATCAATGAAGCCTTTACTGTAGGTGTACAGATTTATTTCTTTATACCAGCATTTCTATTCTTCTTAGTTAGTTAGTTAAGTCACTCAGTTGTGTCTGACTCTTTGAGACCCCGTGGACTGTAGCCCACCAGGCTCCTCCGTCCATGGGATTCTCCAGGCAAGCATACTGGAGTGGGTTGCCATTTCTTTCTCCAGGGGATCTTCCCGACCCAGGGATTGAACCCAGGTCTCCCGCATTGCAGGCAGACACTTTAACCTCTGAGCCACCAGGAGACTTATTCTTATTAGACATATCTAAGTATGTCAAGTAAACATAATTGGGGATGTGTTTTCATCAGATTCCTTATTTCTAGGTACCTCAGCCCAGGATCAGCAAACTAATCCTATTCTATTCCAACACAACTGTCACTCTGTAACCAGAGAATCTCTTTCCTTCCCAGTCACTTTTCACATCACCCATAGTCAACTTCCCTAAGCAGTGTTGGACTGGGAGGAAACAGCAAGCTCTCAGATCCCTATGGCCTTTTCACCATGCAGTGACTTGACTCTTAAGTTTACATAATCTTTTACTTTCATTAGACTGATTTAGTTTAGTCTTCTCTCTTGCTTCCCTGCATCTGTTCAAATGTTCAGAGGAAACCAACTTCCATCTAAATATGTCACTCTTGTCTTATTCTTTGTGAGCCAGTCCAGGAGCAAAGTCATCATTTACAGCAAGGAGTCAGTGAAAAATGTTTTTAGAGATCCGTGTCATTTACTTGAAAATAATTTTAGGAAAATAGCTTATTTATAAATTGAGGACTGACTACTTGACAAGAAAACTCATTGCTGACTGAATCCAGAAAGAAGTAAACATAACGTCTACCTTGCCGAAGTAGAGCACCCGACAGAGATCCCTGATGATGCCAGGCATTTCTGTAATTTTCTCTCGGCATTCTTCAAACTGAGCAGCCACACTATAGCATCTGCTTATGTGTCCACACACCTGCAGATAACACAACAGAGTAAAAAAAGGTCACATGTACATTCCTGTTTAAGACAGTGGAAATCAAATCAGTAGAGATTCGTAATAATGTTCAATGATATATATGACACTCCAAAATTAAACAGAACATTTCTATTGAATTATCAGTATTTCTGGTTAAGATACCCTATAGATGCAGGGTTGGCAAACCACGGCCACTATACGGCCAACAGGCCAAGTCAACCATGATCTGTTTTTGTATGGCCAGGAAGCCTTAGCTTTTACATTTGGAAAGAGTTGTAAAAGTCACAAATAAAAACATGCAATAGGATTTCCCTGGTGGTAGTGGATAAGAATCCATCTGCCAATGCAGGGAACACAGGCTTGATCCCTGGTCCAGAAAGATTCCACATGTTGTGGGGCAATAAAGTCCATGTGCCACAACTACTAAGCCTGCGCTCTAGAGCCCTCCAGCAACAACTACTAAAGCCCGTGCACGCTAGCACTGGAGCTCAGCGACAAGAGAAGTCACTGCAATTAGAAACCTGTGCACCATGATAAAGAGAAGCCCCTACTCTCTGCAAGGAGAAAGCCCGTGCTCTGCAACAAAGACCCAGTCCAACCAAAAATAAGTAATTTAAAAAATATGCAACAGACTACATGTAACCTGAATATCTCAAATAATCAACCTCTAGCCCTTTATAAAAAAAAGTTTGCCAACTTCTGGATTAAAGTATTTTTGCCCTGAATTCTAATAATGTACTATACTTATTAATAAAAATAAGGATGAAACTCAAAAGCCTATACTGAATTGTTTAATATTCTAAATTTTGCTGGCATACACAAAAGGTCAAAAAGATGCATTTTACAGTGATCTTAATGTTCCTGATGGATCTTCTACCAAAGAATTCAACAGAAAAGAAGAAAATGAAAACACTAGGTATGGGAGTGGGAAGTAAAGAAGGAATTAAGGAAGGGGATGGAAGATAAGTGAAACAAAAATGGAAAAATTACAGATGTTTGAAACTGGGTAAAGGGGACATGGGATTCATTATATCACTCTGTATTTTAAGGGAAAAAAAATTAAGCCAACAGATTACATATGATTTAGCACAGTGTTTATTAAAGTGTGATACACACACACACACACACACACACAAATAAAGTGTGATACACAGAATAACAGCATCATTATTATCTGGGAATTTTGTTAGAAAAGCATATTCTCAGGCCCCTACCCTAGACTTTCTGAATCAGAAACTTTGGGCAGAGGACCTGGGAGGCAGACCTCAGCAATCCAGGTTTTAATGAGCCCTCAAAGTGATTCTAAAACAGACCTAACATCTGAACTACTAGTCTAGCCTAACTTTCTTGGAATAGTGTGTTTCAAGCCTTACCTGTACTGACATGTCACCTGGTTTACTAGAACGATTCAAGACAGCCACACAGCGACTAAATGCCTCTTGTAACACCTGCACAGAAAGAAGTCTGCCATTAACTCTCAAAGTTTGAAAAGCCTCCTCTGCTAGGAATAAAACATTAATTAACCTTCTAACATTAGAAACTTGGCAAATAAGTGTTAGCTCAATTAACATTTGTTAAATAAACAAGTAAACAAAGAACCCTGCAGTTTTTTAAAAGCATCCTACTACACTATTTTGCAAGTAATATTAAGTTCACCAACTTTGAATCCAATATTCTCCAATTCACGTTATGCAATAAGGCTCCATTTATTTTAATTTTGGAATTAGAATATAAAGAACATGGTTATCTGTTGCAATAAATTAAAGAAACTGTATCAACTGTTTTCATACTTGGTGAATTCTTTATTGCTAAGAGACAGTTTGCCTAAACTAGCTTTAAGACAAGGACAAAAATCATTCCATATTACCTCAATTCCATTCTCCCGTCTAAGCTCTTCAGCATTGAGGGCTGAGCAGTTAACAGTATGGAAAGCCAGCTCTGCAGCAGCAGGCAACAATGGTGATTCTTTTGAGAAAAGGAGGTCATCTGAAGTTTCCATTGTTATAGTCCTAATTAGCATGGGGTATCCTGCATATTTATAAGGCTGTAAATCTGAAATAATCATCGTTTTAAGTTAATTTTTAATTACATTGTCAAAAAAAAAGAGATTAAAACAGTCAACATCTTAAATGTTTCCTAACTCTAGTTTATATAAAGAAATTAAACTGAGTACAAATCCCTTGGATCTTTTCTACTAGCAAACTTGTTTGGTTGACTTCTCTAAAATGTTTCAACTAGAAAAAGAGTATTTCCTGGTAGATTAAAACTAAACTTTGTGTATAGTGGTTTTGATCCTTCGTAGAGTATCTACTTTCTATATAGTCCCTGTGATCTTTATAACTTTTACCTTCTGAGAATGACCAATAATCTACTTTAAATTAATGCATTTTTAAGACAGCTTAAAAAAAAAAAAAGCCCCTTGGAACTGGTCCTGGTAGTCCTAACACATACATACATAAGAAAAACAGTGAGTGAATTAATGTTAAGTTCTATTAGATGAGGACCCTCTACCCCAGAACTTACTGAGTATAAACTCCCTTTGTGAAAAGTAGAAGACAGCGTGAAAAAAAATTCTGATCTTGATAATACATAAAAAATGAGCTACAGTTGCACTATGGTGGCTAAAATAGTTATCAGCCAAAAAACAACCAATTATTTGAAAAAGACTTCTTTAAATTCATTCTCATTAGTGATAAATGTCATTTAACTAAATGTTTTACAAATGCTTTCTGTTGAGTTTATATGAAAACTGAATCAATTAATCACTGCTCTAATGTCCAAGCTGCTCAATCCCCATGATGTCCCCTCCAATAAACTGGAGTCCTATTTATCTTAAATTACCCAACACTCCTGCTTATCTCAGATCTCTCATTATTCTCTCTTTTTTCCCATTATCCTACAGAGCAAATAGGTTTCCCATTTTATGTGTAAGCCAAGTTTAGTTAGAAGCCAATGGACACCTGTTACACTGAACCTAAATCCAACCTCCCCAACAAAGTCTAAAAATTTTCAATGTGCTCCGAGCTTTCTGGCTACTACTGTTAGGCTACCACAAATCACTCTGAAACAACAATGGAAATTCCCAATAACCTGTACCCTAAAATCACACATATTTCATTTATAAAATTTTCAAAGTGTTCCACAGGATCAGAGGATTTTGAGAGCTACCACAGAAAATGAAGTGTGAGGGGATATATATGATCATTTGAAAAGTCTCTCTTGCGGTTTTAAATTTTTTAAAGATTTATTTATTTATTTAATTTTTGGGCTGTGGTGGGTCTTCATTGTTGCACATGGGCTTTCTCCAGTTGCAAAAGCAGTGTGCGGCTTCTCATTGTGGTGGCTTCTCCTGTTCGGAAGCATGGCTCTAGGTGTAAGGACTTCAGCGGTTGCAGCTTACAGGCTCTAGAGCATGGGCTCAGCAGTTATAGCACACAGGCTTAGCTGCTCCAAGCCATGTGAAACATTCCCAGACCAAGGATCGGACCAGTGTCCTTTGCACTGGAAGGCGGATTCTTAACCACTGGACCACCAAAAAAGTTCTGTTGGTTTTTAAAAAACAGAGCACTTTTGATGTTTTCAGCCTTTAGAGATTTATGGATAAGTGCAGTCTTACAAAAGACATGATGCTTAAATTCCTGGTCCATTTTAGATCTCATTTAATGTTTATTATTAAATGGCTAAAGATAAAACTAACCAAGTACCTCCACAGAATAGAAATGTCCTTTAAGAAGGAACAATGAAATCTTATTGAGAATGTAAACTATTGAAAAACATAGGCAAGACCTGGAAGGTATAAAATAAAAGTTTTGGGTCTAACTACAGAAAACTACTCTTTTACTGTATTTAAAATGGAATTCCAAGAGTCTTATGCATAAATAATTAGAAATCCGTAGGAGGAAGGTCCAAGAGGGAGAGGACATGTGTATACTTACGGCTGATTCAGTGTTGTACAGCAGAAACCAACACAACATTGTAAAGCAATTATTCTCCAATTAAAAATACATTTAAAAATATAATAATAAAAAAACATATTAACCTCCTCCCCCCAAAGGAATAAGCGGCAGAAACAAAGAACATGGTAGAATTACCTGGAGGAAAAATCATAACACATGCCTTACCTTCTTTATGACGGTTGAAGAGAATGCTCTGAGTTTTCAGAATTAAAATTATATTCTCTGGATCTGGTCCATCCATAATTTTTGCTGATTTGGTACATAAAAATTCATAGGCTTTATTTACCTTTTCAAACATATCCTGTATGTAACCAAAGACAATCAACCTTTAATTCAGAACATCTAAAATCACAACTTAGTACACAGATAGTTTGTATTTTACTAATAACTTTAGTTACTATTTTGTTCTGTTTTTTTATATTAAGGAATTCATTCCAACTGTAATTTAGGTGGTATACTTTTAGGAAGAAACAACTTTTTTCCCCCCAAAAAAGGTATTCAATGATCTCAATACCATTTACTGAAAATTTTTTCTTCACTGGCTTATTCCATATCCATTTCCTTCTCCAGGGGATCTTCCCAACCCAGGGATTGAACCCAGGTCTCCCACACTGCAGGCAGACACTTTACCATGTGAGCCACCAGGGAAGCTACCCTTATACCATATATGTTACATTAAGTTCATACATACCAGATATAGTTTCTGAATTATTAAAAAAATAGTTATTATGAGAGGTACTATTTTTTGAGCACTATGGCAGGCACTGTACTAAATGCTTTACATACATTATTTCACATAATTCTCAAAACACTATATAAGGTGTGTACCCTTACTAATCTCATTTTTAAGAAGGTGTTACATAACTTGCCTAAGGTCACAAGCCCATTGCTGACACAGTTAAGACTCACATCCATGTCTGACTCCTATATCCACGCTCTTAACTACTATTCTATAATGTTCCTTGATCTATATGTTGATCTTTGTGCCAGTAGAATACTGTATTACTATTGTAGTTTTACAGAGTACTTAGTATCTGGTAACTTAAGTGTAGAAATTTAGTACTGATTTCAAAATTTCTTCCTATATTGATTGTTTTCTTTCCTAGATGAATCTGAACTGCTTTAAATTTCTCAAAAGATGTCCCAGGTTTTTGATTATAAACGCCTTAAGTACATAAAAGTGATGTTTTTTCCAGTGCTATCTTCCTACTGAGGAATATTGCCTATCTCTAATAAAAAACACTAGCGTTGAATCAGGGAAAACTACCTGAAGTTTCTAGCAACAAACTATGAGCACTAGTTTTAGTGGTCCTTATGTGATTTTATGAGTGCCCACTGGCATTATAGTAGGAAGCCACAAAAGACAAGATCAGGGGATGCTGGCACCAGATGACTTTAACTCTGAACCAAATTTTCTGTTTTTTCATTAACAGTCATAAGAAGTTGGAGGTCATTAGAAAGACCCAAAGCAATCTGAGTGGCAATGAATTAAGTTCACCCATCTTCTAGCTGTCTTCAATTACTCATGTGACAGCCCATTAGAGTTAATTTTCAAACAAACATGGTTAAGGGAAGAGAATAAAAACCCTAAGTTACTAGTTGTGCTTGCCAGTGGCTCAGCTGATAAAGAACCCGCCTGCCAATGCAGGAGACACCAAGAAATGTGGGTTTGATCCCTAGGTCAGGAAGACCCACTAGAGAAAGAAATGACAACCTGCTAGAGTATTGTGTATTCTTGCCTGGAGAATTCCATGGACAGAGGAGCCTGGTGGGCTACAGTCCACGGATCACAAAGAGTCAGACACGACTGAGCACACACACACTAGTCAAAGAGCAGTCCTTTGGATAAAATGAGAGACGACCATTTATGCAAAAAGCATGAGCACGTGGACCAGAAGTTAATTTAACATATACTAGACATATATTATGAGGCAGACACTGGTGCATAAGTATATCTTTTCTCTACCTGAAACAGCAGTAGAAAAAAAGCAAGTCAGCCCCACGGCCCTAATTCCAAAGGCAGTACATACCCTCCCTTCTGGATTCTTGTCAGGATGGTATTTCTGTGCAAGTCTGAAGTAAGCTTTTCTAATTTTGCTCTCATCGTGCCTGCAAAATAGGAAAATTGTTTCATGAATTGAATAATGTGCAAGAAAAATATTTACACAATTTTCTAAAATGATTATTTTAAGAACCTCACTTTTACTGTGTATGATCATATATTAGGCACCTAATTATTTCAGTAAGACCTAAGTAAGGTTATTCTTTTTTTAAAAATATCTTTTAAATTTATCTACTTTAATTGGAGGATAATTACTTTACAATATTGTGATGGTTTCTGTCATAAATCAGTATGAATCAGCTGTTGGTATACATGTGTCCCCTCCATTCTGAACCTTCCTCACAATTCCTCCTCACCCTATCCTCCCTGGGTCTGCAAAGAGCACCAGCTTTGGGCGCCCTGCTTCATGCATCAAACTCTCATTGGTTATCTATTTTACATATGGTAATGTACATGTTTCAATGCTATTCTCTCAAATCATCCCACCCTCTTCTCCTGCTGAGTCCAAAAGTCTGTTCTTTATATCTGTGTAGCCTTTGCTGCCCTAGGATCATCGATAAAGATTATTCTTATGTATTATCTTTACCATTAAAAAAAAATTGCCTATACAAGGTTACCATATTCACTTCAAATTACAAAACCATATTTGGGGTTCAAATAACTAAGAATTATTTTTAAACCAACTTTTCAAAAATGTCACTTCAAACTATAATTCTAACTTTTTTTAACTTTCAGTTCAGTTCAGTCACTCAGTCATATCTGACTCTTTGCATTCCCATGGACTGCAGCACACCAGGCTTCCCTGTCCATCACCAACTTGCAGAGCTTGTTCAAATTCATGTCCATTGAGTCCATGATGCCACCCAACCATCTCATCCTCTGTCGTCCCCTTCTCCTGCCTTAATCTTTCCCAACATCAGGGTCTTTGTTAATGAATCAGTTTTTCGTATCAGGTGGCCAAAGTATTGGAGCTTCAGCATCAGTCCTTCCAATGAATATTCAGGGTTGATTTCCTTTAGGATTGACTGGTTGGATCTCCTCGCTCTACAAGGGATTCTCAAGAGTCTTCTCCAACACCACAGTTCGAAAGCATCAATTCTTCGATGCTTAGCTTTCTTTATGGTCCAACTCTCACATCTATACATGATTACTGGAAAAACCATAGCTTTGACTATCAGGACCTATGTTGGTAAAATTTTAACTTTCAGCCTATACTTACAATGACTTCTAAACTATTTTTTTCTATCATATCTATTCTAAAACTTCAAAGATTAATTAATAAATCTGTATTCTTTCCTATATGTCATTTACTATTCTAGACACACTGCTATCAAATGTCTTTCTCAGGTATAAGACAAACTGCACAAAGAAGGGGAAAGATGATACTGAAAATGACTCACGGTCCCTGTCCTTGAGGGAGATTAAGCAGTTCATAAGCATCATCTATTGACATTGTAGGTGGCTTCTTTTCTACTTCCTTCTTCCAAGCATCAAGGGTATCTTTTAGAAGCTTGACCTTAAAGACAGAATCAAAATTTATGTCTATTAAAGTAAAACTATTTCAGAATATAATTTGTAAGTTCTGGAATTGTTAAATTTACTTGTACTGACATTTTAGGCTAAACAACGAATGGCTTTCTAAATACAAATAATCAAAATTTCCTTCTAGTATTGTTGAATGTTAGGTAGCAAAGTATTTGTTATGGGACTATTATTTTTTTAAAGTGGTATCGTAATTTTCTGCCAAATTTTGTCTCTCCTTTTAATTGTTAAAGAATCAGAAAGTATGGAAAACGTAGGAATTAGTAATGGATTGGCAAAAGTAAGAGTGTCCCAGGAATTAATGCAATGTTTTTTATGTGAACTCTCAGTTAATCTTACCAACCACCACATGAAAAGCTGCTATTAATAGTAACAGCACTATTACCATACGTGAGGTTTAGAGAAGCCAAGCAATACACTCAATATTATGTGGTTGTTGTTTAGTTGCTAAGTCATGTCTAACTTTCTACAACCCCATGAATTGTAGCCCATCAGGTTCCTCTGTCCATGGGATTTCCCAGGCAAGAATACTGGCGTGGGTTGCCATTTCCTTCTCTAAAGGATTCTTCCCGACCCAGGGAATCAAACCCGTTGTCTCCTGTACTGCAGGAGGATTCTTTACCAGAGTAACCTAGGAGGCCCATAAATAGGTGACCCACAAAGAGCCTGCCCAGGATTAGAAACTGGACCCTTACACACTCAAAATGACACTCATATCCTAGACTGATGAGCTATTAATGGCCAAACAAACTCAACCCCAGACTGCCTAACTTCAGCATCTGTGAGTTTAACCAATCTCTTATAAAGACAAGCTCCTACCAAGCTATTATAATATGTAATTATATTATATAATTATACAGTCTCTTAAAAGATTAAGAAGAGGTGGCAAGAATACACAGAACTATGCAAAAAAGATCTTAATGACCCAGGTAAGTATGATGGTGTGGTCACTCATCTAGGGCCAGGCATCCTGGAGTATTAAGTCAAGCTGGCCTTAGGAAACACCACTATGAACAAAGCTCGTGGAAGTGATGGAATTCCAGCTGAGCTATTTCAAATCTTAAAAGATGATCCTGTTAAAGAGATGCATTCAATATGTCAGCAAACTTGGAAAACTAAGCGTGGCCACAGGACTGGAAAAAGGTCAGTTTTCATTCCAATCCCAAAGAAGGGCAACGCCAAAGAATGTTCAAACTACCATACAACTGCACTCATTTCACCTGCTCATAATAAGGTTATGCTCAAAATTCTTCAAGCTAGACTTCAGGCAGTATGTGAACTGAGATTTTCCAAATATACAAGCTGGGTTTAGGAAAGGCAGAGGAATTTGTTGGATCATGGAGAAACCAAGGGAGTTTCAGAAAAACACCTGCTTCTGCTTCAATGACTACACTAAAGCCTCTGACTATATGGATCACAACAAACTGGGGAAAATTCTTAAGAGATGGGACTACCAGACCACCTTACTTGTCTCCTGAGAAAATTGTATGCAGGTAGAGAAGCAACAGTTAGAACTGGACATGGAACAACAGACTGGTTTAAAATTTGCAAAGGAGCACATCAAGGCTATATACCCTCATCCTGCTTACTTGACTTCTATGCAGTGTACATCATGCAAAATGCCAGGCTGGATGGAGCACAAGCTGGAATCAAGACTGCTGGGAGAAGTACCAACAACCTCAAATATGGAGATAATACCACTCCTAAAGGCAGAAAGTGAAGAGGAACTAAAGAGCCTCTTGATGAGGGTCACAGGGGAGAGTGAAAAAGCTAGCTTGAAACTCAAATTCAAAAAACGAAGATCATGGCATCCAGACCCATCGCTTCACGGCAAACAGAAGGGGAAAAAGTGAAAGCAGTGACAGATTTTATTTTCCTGGGCTCCAAAATCACTGTGGACAGTGACCACAGGCATGAAATTAAAAGATGCTTTCTCCTTGGGAGGAAAACTATGACACATCTAGACAGCATATTTAAAAGCAGAGACATCACTTGGCGACCAAGGTCCAAACAGTCAAAAATATGGTTTTTCCAACAGCTATGTACGATGTGAGAATTGGACCATAAAGAAGGCTGAGCACCAAAGAACTGATGCTTCTGAACTGTGGTGATGGAGAAGACTCTTGAGAACCCTATGGAGAGCAAGGAGATCAAGCCAGTCAATCCTAAAGGAAATCAACCTTGAATATTCATTGGAAGGACTGATGCTGAAGCTGAAGCTCCAATACTCTGGCCGCCTGATGCAAACAGCTGATGCAATGGAAAAGAACCCGATGCTGGGAAAAACTCAGGGCATGAGAAAGGGGGAGGGGCAACAGAGGATAAGATGGTTGGATAGCGTTATCAACTCAATGGATATGAGTTTCAGCAAACTCCAGGAGAGGGTGAAGGGCAGAGAAGCCTGGCGCACTGCAATCCATGGAATTGAATAGTCAGACACAACTGAGCAATGGAACAACAACAAATTCTGTTACATGTATGAAATTTGAGTTTGTTTTTGTCAGAAAAGATCAAGATTGTAAAGTCCTTTTATGCTCCCTGAAAAAACTGTCTTTCAGTTTAGGATTTACCCAGATACACCAAACTACACTCAAGTTATAGAGTGCTGAACTAAAAAGAACTATTTAAGAAATCTATTATCCTTCTTAGAAAGAAGAAATACCCAGAAGCGATTAGAGGTTATTTTTATGATTTAAGAAGGCACAAATTAATCTGCTGACTTACCGGGTCTTTAATTGGCCAATCTGGAAACCGGAGTGTATCACAAAGTTGTTTGAGATAATAAATACTACAAAATAGTTCATTTTCTAGTTGTGGATAGTTGATAACTGGGATGGGACAATATTGATAAAGTGCTCTTGTGTTACTCTGAAGACGAGGTGTGAAATCAGCAAGATGGGCAGCAATCTTCTCTATCATGAGGCGCCTACAATTAGAAAAGTCTCCAAGCATTATGATGGAATTATTTATTTTTAAAAATATTTACTTATTTGGTTGTACCAGATCTTAACAGAGACATGTGAGTCCTAGTTCCCTGATCAGGCATTGAACTGGGCCCTCTGCATTCGGAGCACAGAGCCTTAACCACAGGACCAACAGGGCAGTCCCTATTTCATTTTATATTTTATTTTAAAGAAAAGTTTATGACAGGAAATCATGCAAGATAATTACATGGATCTTCTTCAGAGTAACTCAGTTACTGACCTAAAATAAGAGCTCTAAGAAAGTTAGAGTATTCTAAACTTACTGTGTAAAAACACTCTATGGATATAAATTTGTTTGTAATACTATCTATAGAGAAGACCAAAGAGAAAAAGACTGAGAATACCAACCCTTCTTCCTGAAAATCCAGCCATTAGAAGGTCACAAGGTATGAAATCTGCATGTATGAAGGCACAGCCATGGAATCAAGTCAGCTCTCTCCCCAAAGAAATTCACTCTATGGGCTTTTAGTTAATTTAGCACAACCAAGGATTTGGCCATCAGCTAAGAAGAAACTGGATCTGCTCAGGATTCACAAAGCTACATCCCTTAAATGAGGGACTCATACCAACCAATCTCAGAAGAAAAATATTACACAGAATAATTATAATAAACTTATTCATATCCCTATACATTTGTTCCCAATGAAAAATATGACAGTCATACAGAATATATTCAAATTGGTGGCTAGTACATGTCAGGCTGATAGGTCAAACTATTAGAGAAGCCAAATGATGACCAGCAGGTAGCACTGTGAGTGTGGGCCAGCCAAAGAAGAGTGGGTAACTGACTCAGAAAATCAACTGCCATCCAGCTAAGAAGACTGAGGGGTTGTTCAGAGAGGCAGACTTGACACTGGAATCATCAACTGCCAAGACTTTACCAGACACAGCCTGTATGGGTATTGATATTTGCTTCTGGGCCTCTCCTTTTTCTTGGTGGAATATGGACTTTCCTATGGCATTCTCCTGGCAAAGTCCAGATTATGGTCAATGTGTGCTGGCTAGGAAGCCCTAATTAAAATGACTTTGGGTATCTCTAGTCTGATCTACTTTTTGTGGGCAAAGTTTTTAAGTGGGGCATAGTTCTATTCCCAAATACTCAGAAGTGTCTTAATTTAAGCCCCGTATGTCCCTTATATATATATTAATTCATTGCCTGAAAAGTACCAGTGGTAATAGGCTCCACACCCTTATGCAAAACTCTACTAAGGTAACAGTAATTTTGTCACATCATGTTAGAACAGGAAAAAAGCTGAGGGCCTTGTGAACAAGTCACTTGATTTGGCACCAATGACTGCTGTAGCTTGAGGTTATGCAACTAGTGAAAGTAAATATTTTCACAGAAGTCAAATCAGATGGCAAAAGGTTGAGAGTCTGTGTATAGAATACAAACAATCGACTGGCTATTTACCTCATTTCACTGCTCCATATTGCTTCTGGAGTATCAAATTCTCCTAGAAAGATCTCAGAAAACTTTTCAGGCTCATAATTTTCTAAGTAACAAACCATTGCTTCTGGTAGAATGTGCCCAAGTATACTTCTCTGAAAAATATCCTGTCCTTTTGTCTTTAAAACAAAACAAAACATAGTTAGAAACACTTTAAAACTTTAATTATCTTCCAGTTTTCTAATAAATGAATTGGTATTAGAGAACATTTTAAGAAGCTAATTGGAACATACTGCTTTTATGCTTTGGAAATTTGATGAAAAAAATGGCAAAATGAGAAGTTCAAGGTTTCTGGTATGAACTGCCTTAGCATGAGCTCTAAGATGGAACTACCCCCTCTAGCCCTGCAGCAGCCTTAATTCTCTTCAGGGTCAGGTACTGCCAACATTATTTAGGGCATTTGGCCTTTGACCATGTGTAATGGTAGAGACCAACAAAAGGAACATCCTGCAAAGATTTACATCAATTATTCTATTACACTGTTGGCAGTAGTTCCGAACCAACACATGCTTCTGTTTTCAAAAATAAGTCTAGAAAAATCAAGATCTTAAAGAGCCTATCCTCATGAAGTGTAGCTAAAACTTAGATGGAGAATTTCGATTAAAAGTAACTGTAATTAATGGTATTAAGAACTTCATATTCTCTGGTTGGCCAAATGGAGTCAGGGTAATGTTCATACTTTTATCATGGTAAATTTTTAAACTCATTTCTTTACCTAACTGGGGGGGAAAAAAAACCCCTAGGGACTATAAATACTATTCTTATTTCCTTCTAGGCAAACTGAGGACAATTCGTTCCTCTAGGATCTGACAAAGAAGTGAAAAAAGCCCACATATGGTTTTACTACTGAGTGCAAAGACAAATTAGATGATAAATATTTTCAGGCTTTTTACTAATAAAAGCCATAAATTCACTGTTAAACTTTTAGGAGACGAACTGCTGTTCTGTTTTTTAGAACACTATTATTTGGTTCTACATCTAGAGTTCTGCTATAAACAAATACTGTTTTGCTGTAACTATTCAAAATAGTTAGGTGAAATGATTTTATACTATAAAATTTGAAAAAAGATTACATATACATAACTGCACAGAAAAAAGGGGAAAAAAAAGAATGACAAAAGTGCTTTATGTTGCATTAATGTGGTAGCATTAGAGGCAACTTTTTAAGAAACTTTTTATTCTCATTTTCTAGTACAGAGCTATGGAAACTATACTTCCATGGGCATCACTTTAATATTATTAGATTGTAGATAGATTACTTTCTAGGGATTTACTGGCTTCTCTATAAAACATGCAGTTTTGGTCTTGTGTCTGTTGTCAAAGTGGTGTAACATCCCTTGGTTAGTCTCTTAAACAGAGGTCCAGTTTTGATTTATACCACTCTCAATAAAATCTGAAAATCAATGTTTCATGAAAAGTCTAACAAAATTTCAAACAAGATTCAGTTATTTATTTACAGTAAACATTTCTGCAAAATGTAGGTAAAAGTTACATTTGTCAAAACGACCTGGATAAAGTCTCATTTTTTTATATTCCTATTATTCCTCCCCAAGTAAAATGGTAAGAATATTTGAGAGCACCTGAAAAACTAAGTAGCCTCAAAACAGAAACTTAGCACTTCTCCCACACCGGGATCTGAACAAAAAGAATGTGAAAGTCTTACTGAATCTAAGCTGACTATATGAGACTCAGGCATATACTGAATTATTTATTACAACTACTAATTAAATTTTATACAAAGGGAACAAATTACACTCATAGATAGCAAATGTCAGGTTATAATCATATCTATAATTTAAATATTAACTCTAATAGGCAACATTTATTTTTAACATTTAAAACATTAGCTTAGACTCTTTGTGCAAGGTACCACAAGGAAAGCAAAATACGGATAAAATAGTATCTGCCTTCGAGTGCTTATAATCCAATAAACATATACAATTTAGGAAACGTTTGTGCCAGGACAGGTTCCCCAGTATTAAGTCCCATATTCAGAGGATTAATCTGGCTTACCTCTTCTGACTTGAAGGCTTGTTTGGTATGTGTGTACTTCAAAAATCTAGGGGAAAAAGAAAACTACTTATCAGGTACAGGAACTGATTTAGATTTAATAACCTTAATTTTCTAAGATGGGGTCTTTTTTTTTCTTCTCTGAAGTATAGCTGATTTACAATGTTGTGCCAGTCTCTATACTGTATGGTGAAATGACTCAGTTATACACACACATTCTTCTATTACAGTTTATCACAGGATATTGAATATAGTTCCCTGTGCTATACAGTAGGAACTTGATGACTAAGATCAGATTTTTTTTATAAATAAAAGCCATAAAAGGCTCTTAAACTTGTAAATCCATATTCTCAAACTGCTGAATTTTTATTTAAGGTAAGAATTTATATGAATTAGAAAAGTTTTTAAATGATGGTCATATTATAATTATATAATATAAAAAATTACTCGATTTTAGGAAAAAAGTAAAATGTAAAATAAAAATATATTAAATCTGTATGATTAAAATACTAGATGGTGATACAATTTTTATGTAAGATGTGATAAAATGGTGTGATTCTGAATAACTTTTCCCCAATCTTCTAATTTTCAAATTTTCAGACATATAAACACCTCTTAAAATGAAAAATATAATAAAGGCAATGATATGCTCATAAAATATAAATTTTTAATAAATCTGTCCATGTACAATTCAAATAATTTCATATAAATTATCATTAGAGTCTTTACCGAGCAACAGGAAGCACATTGGAACCTGTATACATCATGATGAAGAAAAATACTCCACTTAGATAAAGTCGAGGTAACTGTGGGTTATCTTGCATAATATGGTATAACAAAATAGCAACCTTCTCAACAAGGATAGGATCAAAGGTCAACAGTAGCTAAAAAGAGAAATAAAACGTTTTTGTTACCGGGCTATTAAAACTTGCATCATCATCATTCATCTTAGGTTTATGCATTTCATGTGCTGAAGTTACAGTTTCTCCTAAGTAGTAAGTGGTGGTGGTGGTTTAGTCACTAAGTTGTGTCCGACTCTTGCGATCTGTGGACTGTGGCCTGCCAGGCTCCTCTGTCCATGGGATTCTCCAGGCAAGAATACTGGAGTGGGTTGCCATTTCCTTCTCCAGAGGATCTTCCCAACACAGGAACTGAACCTGGGCCTCCTGCATTGCAGGCAGATGATTTACCAACTGAGCTATGAGAGAAGCCAAGCAGTAAGTAGTAAAATTAAAATTAGACTCAGTATGTTTATCTACCAGCTTCTAAACAGATTTGAAAAATATTTTATAGATTTAATGCAGAGATAGTAAAATAGAGAATTAATCAAAGCTTATTCATTAAAAGCCCAACAATGCCTGAAGCTGTTTTGTTTGATTAGAGGTAAAATTGTTTTCTGTNCACTACAATATTGTAAAGTAATTAGCCTCCAACTAATAAAAATAAATGAAAAAAAATTAAAATAAAAATAAAAAAAATAATAAATTTTTTTAAAAAAAAGGAAAAAGAAGAGTAGCTACATTTGGGGTTAGTTTCAGGTCAGTTGATTTGAAATGAAGCCTCCTCTGAAGACTATTTGAGAACTCAAAAGAACTGAGCAGAGCACAGCTTTCAGTGAAACAGCACTAAAAAAACAGTGTAAGTGCAAGTACAAGGTAAGAGGGTAGCCAGACACCAGCAGGGCTGCTACGGCCAGACAGCACCAAGAGATGCCATCTCCAGAAATCTGATCTAGCAATACTGAAGGAACTATCTGGAAACTCTGGAATGCATATGGACTAGTAAAAAAAAAGTGTCAAGTACTGCTATGACTAAACACCTGATAAATTTAGTAAGTTTTATCTTAACACAAGTAACATTTCAATTTGCTACGAACACTTCCTTCTGAGGAATCCCCAATTTGGAGTCAAATGCTACCAGTAAAAAAATTACAATAATGAAAATAAGTATTAGCTCAGACTAAGGGTCAAAGTTCTAGATTCAGTATATGAGACTGCATAGCCATATGTCTTCAAGTAATTTAAATTTTTCTGTTTTTGGTGTCTTATCTATTCAACAAGGTATTTAGATTATACACAGTAAAATAGTACTATGATGTATTTCACAAAAGAAAAACTGAGACACAATAACATAGCATTTTTCCTAGAGTTAATGGTGTTAAGATTAGATATCACTCTAACAAAAATATGGAAATTAACAGGTAACAACCTAGAATATCTGAAATAGTGACTATACCAGAAAACCTAGGATATTCATTTGCTATATCCTAGACCATTCCAAAAATCATGAAGCTGTATTAGATGGTAAAACTGGTTATTGCTCTTAGGGTCAAATGATGTACAGAAAACTGTACTGAGCAATGTAGACAGACAATGTTCCTGAAAAACACTATGGCTGCCTAACTATGCTTAGCAAGAATAAGGTCTCCCAGAATATAGAAAATTAAGTGAAAACAAAAACAGCTTCTAAGAAACTTTTTTTTTTAACAGTATAAGAAAAATACAGGAGGCACAAACTGCTTAAAAGCAGCTGGGTTTATCAATAAATTTCTTCTGTCATTCTATTGATACTTGCTCAGATATTACCAAGAATCTTTGGTTAATTAAAATATATCTTTCCCTCAAAACTTCATGGTATGCTGACCACATCTCTTAAAATTTGTTTTTCAGTCAATCCTTCCTGGCCGGAAATTCAATCTTGTTTACATCTACTTCTTTCCTCTCATTTATTAAGTACTGGAAAATGTTGGCCAGAGGCACACGTTTTAGGCACGGTCCTTTATCTATATGAGGAGAGAGTCCAGGATGGAAAACAAACCCTTCTCCTTGTACCATGTCATATGTGCAGCTACAGAGACATCTCGGCTAGGGTGGTGGTAGCTGCAAGAAATAAATGCAGTGCTCTTCAGAAGAGTACACAACACTGAAAAGCCAGCATGCTTAAATAACAGAAGTTGGGGAAGATTTTTTAAAAATATTACTCAGCCATTAAAAAGAATTCATTTGAATCAGTTCTAATGAGATGGATGAAACTGGAGCCCATTATACAGAGTG